CTACAAAGAATTTCTTCCAAAATAAAGAGGTACAGCTTTGTAGTAAATTTTATAATAAATGCTCTCAAATGATAGATTCAGAATTCTAAACATTTTAAAGGATTATAAAAAGATACGCCTGAAATCTTGCATGTTTTAAAATGCAGTACAAAGTAAGCTTTTTATATGTAGACATTTTTAATAAAAAAATTTTGTGTTCTTGAAATAAGCTAACGTAACTTGTACATATTTACAGCAATAAGCTACATTTCAGAAGCTGCACAAGAACTTTTGTTAAGTATTGCTGATGGTTTTTGACACCAGCCATTCAAATGTGTTTTTTGTCTTTAGTTTGTTGCAACATTTAAAATCTTGAAGTACCAGAGCAAACAGCAACATATTTTATAGCAAAGCCACACTATTAACAAAATATGGAGTGAACTACAGTCCTGTGACTGTTAGGGTTATCTGTGAGTCCTGAAATCGAGAGCACAAGCATTGCTTGTGTCCATACCTGATTGCATGTAAATTGATTTTACATTTTACAAGAATACACAATTACTTAATGAATGGTTAGGAATAGAAAAAAGGCCATGGAGGGAAAAAGGGTCAGGAATCAGAGGCCACTGAACAATTTCTTATTCACTTATTCACTAATTCATAGAGGGAAATCTGCTTTCATGTGTATAAATCACAGTCTGCAGGCTTCATGGATTTTGTCCACAGACAGCTTTTGAGATAATGAAGGCATAATGTCACTCACTTTAAGTGCATAAAAAGCAATTAATGGAATGCTTAGGATATTTTATTCAAATCCCTAACAGAAAGGGTATAAATAAGCACACAGTGTATCAAACTTTGATTTCCAATGTAAAAAGCAACTACAGAAAACCACAAATACTGTGTCATTAGGATGGCAATTTCAATCAGAAAATGCAGCATATAGTGAAACAAAATAGAAAACATGAATTATAAAAGGAGTCTATCTTTTCCTTCCCCTGCATTTGTTAAAACCAGTCCAATCTCATAATTCTACACGTTTTTTGAAATACTTTTTTCTTGTCATTTAGTTTCATTATTGATCTGGTAGGTAACAAAAGTATTACCTGCTTATGTAAGAAAGAAAATGCTTATGTTGAAAGAGCATTAAAATACTGTTTATGTTTCTTTGCAATGAAAGAAGTTCTGCTTCCTGAAAAATAAAGAGAAGAAAGGAATTCCTTTAAAAGAACTGTGTAATACCAGTAAGGAAATGACATACCTCAATCATACTTGGTAGGAGAGTAGATAGCAAAATTGATTAGTGAAGATTTAAAAACACGAGTGAAACATTTAATAACTTCTGACATATTTGGTGAGTTAGCATAATGGGTTTTAAGAGGCAACAGAAGGTACTGTGTGTGTTTCTGCATGTACTTAGCACCTGCTTTGGAAAACTGCAACTATTTAGTACAGGATACTATGAATTAAGATAGTAGAAGATTGGTTTGGCAAGTTTGGCGATTTTTTGATTCAATCAATTAGGTGAACTGGCAGTCAAAGAGGTGTCCATTGCTGGCAGGATAATAAAATGTATTCTTTAGCCTAGCAAGTTCTGCTTTCCCAGCCCTCCTGAATCTTTGCCTTAGGTTCAGTCCCCTTGGGTAAAGATAAGAGGAGTAAAATGACTTTTCAAGATGATGGGCAGCAGGAGAAATTTTCAAGTGAGCCACCTGATGGAGATGCTTCTCTCAGAAAGTTTTATTTGCATTTGAACAAAATGAAACTTTGCACTTTTCATCTCCGTTTACCTGTTACATGACATGCTGTCACCGTTTCACAGCAGCCATAGGGCTTCTGGCCTAACGGCACAAAATATTGCTTGGTTGTCAAAACTCAAATCTTACTTTACAATGTCGAAGAATTTTTGGCCTCAACATTTACGTTTACATAAGTCGGGATTTTATGGAATTGCCAAAAATCTGCAATTTTGACCTTTTCATAATCCCATAAACAGTAGTTTTTATTGAGGGTTACTGGCCCTTTTTAACATACAGAGTTGACCACACAGTAAGTGTATGTAGAATTGTAAGTGTTCCCTTTTTAGAAGAATACTGGATGTTCTGAATGGGAAAGGTCACTTGGATATATGATTGTTTTCCATCACTCTGCAGTGAATTAGACTAATCTAGGAGCTTCCCTAAAAATGTCTCAGGGGCTTTGTTGCACAATACAACATATTTCAAGCTTTATCCAGTGAGTACTTTATGTAGGAAACAAAGATGCACATCAACAAAGAGTTGATAAAGAAAAAGGAGATACACTGTAATTCAATGCATTTGTGGAATATATGTAGAAAAATATGCTATCTAATAAAACTGGGGTGGCTGATTGCCACTCTGAGGTAAGGCTTGCAAATTACATACTTATGCTAAGAAGTAAATACACATAACAAGAGAACAGGAATGTTAATAGTTAAAAGGGATTTTACTGTGTTTTTAAAAATGTAGTCTTGAGAAGCAGTGGCAAATGTCAAGAATTGTCCCTCTTACTTCTGAACCTTCTGCTTTTGGCAGAAAAAGAGCTTGACATTCAATACTCTCTAGGAGTATTCTCTTAGAATTTACATAGAAATCTTCCATTGATAATGCAGTATAGTCCCAAATCTAAAAGTAAACACCTCATAGAAAAGTCGAAGGCTTCTAATAAGGCACACATGCACTGGGTTTGTTGGTGCACACCTGCAGTCCCAACATTGGGTGGCTGAGGCAGGAGGATTGCAAATTAGAGCCCTGCCTGTGTAAATTAATGACTTAGTAAGATCCTGTCTCAAAGTAAAAAAAAATTAAAAAAGCCAAACGCCTGGGGATATACAGATCAGTGTGAAGGCCCTCAACCTCCAGTACCAGAAGAAAAGAAGAAAGATAAAAACATAGATAGAGAAAATGAAACTTCTATGAAGAAAAAAATTTTTTCCATAATGGAAAAGCAGTAATAATAATTATGAAAAGTTCAGTTCTGCTCAAGCAGGTGAGGATTCAATCCGTGTAATCATATGCAGGGCAAAAAAATCTCAGGGACCACTCTGTTCGATGTCAGCCTGTGTTCAACCCAACATCAACTACATTTTTAATTTATGAAAAGGTTTTAGGTATAGGCTTTATGAGACTAAAATGGCTTAAGTGGAGGTCATCTGTCTTACAGACACCTGTAGTCTTGAAATATTACCTGTTATGAAAGTGTGTTTCTCTTGCTGCATTTACCATCATAGCTTTATTGAAGCTGCCATGGGTAGGACAGTCAAATACGTTAGAAGGTGCAGAATAGTTTCAAAATAGGGTGTTTACTTTTAAGAACCTGCTTTAAGGAGGCAGAATGTTTATTTACAGAACTATTAGAAATACACAAATAAAATATCTACTTTTGTTGGACATGTGTCTACAAGAATTGAGAAAATGCTAGCCAGAGAGAGAATGAACAGGAGGGGCTCCTGCAGTTGAATTTTGGGTAGTGTTGGCTCATCAATAAGACAACACTGGGATGAGGCCAGGAAGAAGAATATCTGGGCAGTGAAAATAAAATATAAAACGTAAAGCACAGAAGTGGGAGCATTTTGGAGTTTTTGAATGAGCACTGTTCCAGGGAACAGGGAAGGCCCAAGGACTAATAATTTGTTTGAAGCTGATTAAAGAGAAGAATGAGAAGTATGGTGAGCATAAGTAGAGGGGGAAACTGTTCAGATGAATAAAAGATTCATAGGAAGCTGAGGGTCACTTTCTTCTGTGTGATATTACATTTATTTTCTCATACTCTCAGGCTGCTGAGACCCATTCATTAGTGTGGTAATATAGTTTGTCATTCAGATGAACACTTTGAGAGCACAAGGGGGATCTTAAGTACACACTGAGATCATCTTTGGCAAATTGGGTCATATAGCCCCCTAACGATGATACCAACCTAAAAGAACTGAGACACATACCGGGCTGTTTTATTGTAAGTCAGGCATTCCTTCTATACATTTACTCAAAAAAAAAAAATGCTTTTGTGTGTGGGGTGGAGAAAAAAATGAAGCAATACAGAGTATTGGACATGATATTTAGCTGTTGGGAGAGGGAACTGTCGTCTTTCGTCCTACTCAGCACTCATTTTGGAACTACCCAAAGCCTGGATCATCAAGATAAAAATAATTAAATCTAAAAAAGGTGGTATAGTGGAAAAAAGCTTTGCCCTTGGACTCAAGAAAAGAGGGGAATTAATATTAACTTCCTTAGTAAATAACTCTCTAATCTTGATATATCATTTAACTTATTTGAATCTCTATTTCCTAATACTGGTATTGTCATTGTAGTGAAGATCACGTCATTAAATTACACGTGAGAAAGTGTTTTTTTGACACTAAACCAATGAGTGATGGTCATTTTTGAACGTGTACCTGAAAGTCATTATTCCTTTTTTTTTTTTTGGTACCGGGGATTGAACTTGGGTCCTTGCACATCCAAGGCAGGCCACCAAACCGCTGAGCTAAATCCCTGGCCCCATTATTACTTTTTTTAATTAAATTTTTTTTCAAGCATTGGATGACTCTAGTGATCAATTTAGTAAGTTAGTCATGGGCATTCCAATCCTTCTGTCAGTGACTGGCTCGGAATGACCAGTGGAACAGAAGTCAAGCCTTGTGTGTATATGTAAAGATTTCCTTGCTTTAAAGAAGAGATCCAAGAAAAACACACCCTGTTTCTGCCTCTCAGTTTGTGTGTATGAGGAGGGCTGTGTGGAGCCCTTTTATAACTGTAATGGGTGCTGATTAACATGACGAAGGAATAATGGGTCATGCAAAGGACATGAGTCCTCGATGCCATCATTGTGCTGTTAAAATAAGAAGAAAAAAATGTGAGAAGATGAAAAGATGGAAATAAAGTGTTTGTAGATGGGAAGAGGAGGAGGGGGTGAAGGGAGGGCAGGGGTAAGGGGAAAAAAATGAGAATCAAGATTTGTCATGTAGAGGTACAAGATCCCAACAATGAATGTAATTGTACTGTAGCCCTAAAATGTACCAATAAACTCAATTAAAGCTGGAAAAAAAAAAGAAAGAAAGAAAAAAGCAACCCGAAACTATCTTCCTTCTGAACTGTTACAGGAGATAATATTTTGATCATAAATTTCCTTTACACTGCATCTTGTGACTTGTACCTGAATGATTTTTAAAAGTCTGAGGAATGCTTCCTCTGGCTTAAAAATGAAACCATTCATTGTAAGATCATCGCTAGGTAAAAAGGTTAGGAAATGGGGAAAAAGAAGGCAGTGAACTCACTACTTTAAGAGCAGCAATAACTGAAGAGGTTGGAATGAATCTATAGGATGCTGAGCTTGAGGGGCGGAAGACTAAGCCAGTTTTTGGGGAAAAAAAGAAGCTGCTCCCATCATAGATTGGGCTACAGCAGAAGGGAGGAATTTCTAGGCACTATCCTAACAGTTTTGAATGGTCAGAAGGCTCTTAGGTGAGTCATGAAAGTTTGGAGCTGGGCAGTTTCTTTAAAAAGAAAAAGAAAGAGGTTATTAGAAACATTTGTTTGCAGAAATTGCGTTGGGGACCATCTTCAGAGATTGGATTGTGCAGAATGCATGCTTGAAGAATATGAATAGCCAGAAAGGCTAATCATAATTTAGTAAGTAAACTTTCATTGTTGTCATGGTTGTACCTGAAATATTTGGCAGAGTTAACTGGTTAGGTGGAAGGGTAGGGAAAGAAGAGTGGATAACAGAGGCTCTAAAAGAACAGAATCTTTTCCAACAGGATGGGAAACTGTTTCTCGACTGAAAGCACAATCAAATCTGCTACTCTAGGTGTGTGGCCCAGGCCTGGGGAGAGCATTACAGTACTACAGGGCCCAGGTGCTGCCCCGAAGTTGGCTTGCCACCCACGAGGAAGTGTTTCATGGCAGTTCCTCGACTGAATCAGAGAGTGATTTAAGGACATCTACACCTTTCAGAGATCTGAAATTAGAGACAAGATCACATTGCTTTACATTATCTGAGACTTTTAAAGATGCTCTTACAAAGAAATATAACAAAATAGTAATATAATTTTTGGTACTTGCCTGCATCACTATGTATTTGATGCAAAGGAACATGAGCAAGTCTTCAATTCACTTGATACCAGGTGACTTATTCTTAGACATGCAACAGTGATTATAACTAAGTTTGGGGCTACATTAGCAGAGGCCATGGTACTCTTACTTCTCTCTGTTAACTTCCTGTGTAAATGAACCTCCCTAATATCACCTTTGAAACTCCGTTTTGGAAGATGATTTAAGAGTCACCTGCTGCATGGCAAGAGTCACATGCCTAGGCATTGGTAGGGACAGGTCCCCAGTCTATGCACTGTATTTCTGACTATGTAACTCATTTACTGTTAGCCTTTCAAGGTTAGACTGTACTGTTTCATATATGTGTAGAGAACCCCAATTCTCTAAATCTATAGAAATGTCTCAAGGAAACAGGCGTTCTATGTAATTTTATAGAGGCAATTTAGACAGCTTGCACTAGGACCTATCCCATTACCAACTATATTTAACACCTTTAGAAGAATGAAGGAGAGTGGATAAAATTATATATAGGAGAAATTTGTAATAAGAATAAGGTACTGAAAGGATAAAGTGGGCCAAGCTTCTAAGGATAGTCTGTAGCTTGTGGTCTGCTGCTTGAAGATTAAGTCCTTCTAGGAGGGATGATAATAAATTTTCAAATGGTGAACAGTTAAGACTGAAGGAGGGCATGGGAAAGTAAGTTGGATGGAGAAGATCTAATACAGAGTGGATACAAGTATTATGCAAAAGATGACCTTGTTTCCACACTCTGGTTAAATAATGTAAATTTTCACAGGTTGACCTGATGATTTGTATCTTCACTGTATTTTGAGGCGAGAGAAGGTTTATGTAAACATGTGCTTTTTACATAAGGAACAGAGAAGCAGAAAATAAAAATCACCCAAGGCAGTTCAGTGGAATCTGCTAACTACACAACTTCCCTCTGATGACCTTCGAAAGGTTTTATGAGTAGGAATTAGAAAAATTGCTAGAATTCATCGTTTTTGTAAATTAAACTAAGGATACACAATAGGTGTGTCAGAAGCCAAAGCATTCAGCTGTCCATGGGCAAGATAACTTTTGAGTTTGGAAATGGAAGAGGAAAAATGAAGCAGTCATATTGGGTTAACATGAGGCAGGACGGTATACAGTATGGGAGAAACGAGAACAGAAGACAGAATATATTTTACACAAACCCAACTTGCAAATACATACACATACATATCAGAGTTTAAGAACTTGTATTTATAAAAATTACATTGGGAATGTCTCCTCTTCCCCTTTTCTCTTCAAAGGAAACTGAGGAAGAAGCAAGGGCCAGGCCGCAAAGCTGGTTGCTTTAGTTCACACTGTGGCTTTTGAATGGGGCTGTTTTAAGACACTGAATCTGTGACCCTGTATTCCTAAGGCGAATGAATAATGTCATTTTCTCTCTCTTTTATTGATTTCTTTTTTGATTGTCTGTAGGACAGGAAGTGCAAATAGAGTGTGCAAGAGAATGCTTTTCTTTCCCAAGTGGTTCAGAAATACACCTTGTTTTCCTGTATTGATTCTGCTTTAGTTTTTGTGGTGAGTCCAGGATATGCAAGGGATCTAGAGGATAATTAGGTGTGGTTGAGGCCCTTGACATACCAATGAGTTTTTGTAATTCCGCAAAAAAGAACAAAAATAACAAACCCAAACAAACAACTGTTAGACCTCCTCTTGCTATAAAACAGTTTAAAAACCACAAAAGTCTTCATTTTTACCTTTTTAAGAGCTTGATGTTTTCTGGTTTGCAATTCTTTTATTGAAAATAATTTCTTTCAAATGCTTGCTTATGTAATTGTAGCCTTCAGCAATTAGGTTTTCTATAAGTTTAGATGATTTCAATTGTCTAAAACATTTTTGTTTAAAATGAAAGTGCAATATATTCTGGAACTAGAAACTGACTGATCTCATTGCTTCAAGGCATTAAAAAATTCAATTGATATTGGACCCTATGGGTACATTTTGGAACAATAATGGTTCCTTGTGTATACACTCCTAGGATTAAAATGTTGGCATAATTCCTGTCTTGCTAATACTTACACTGAGCAAAGACTTTTTTTTTTTAACACAATACTGACAAACTAGTTGATGTTCCAAATTCTCAGATATTCTCAATTTCTGTAGGTATCATCACCCTCTCTGGGACTGCCAATTTTCATGGAAACACATCTTATGGCACAATATCCCACATTCTGTAGGTTTTTTCAGGAATATCAATACTAGGGAAAAAGACATTTCTGAACATTAAATTATTAGACTCTTTAATAAGCTTAAGTAGCACGTCACATATATCCTTGTCCCCAGCTGAAAAGACCTTGTCATTTTTAACTACTAGTCAGCTTATACCAATACTGTATTTTTCTTTATGTTTAACATTAATAGCATGGTTACCTTTGGGTATTTTGGGAATCAATCAGCCAGTTAGTGTTATAAGGCCATTTACTATATTGTGCTTTGCCTTTTTCTCTTAATCAGATCAACCCTTCTATTCATTTTTATTCTTATTAAAAAGTTCAGGGGAACATGATAGAAGAGAAGAAGTTAGAAGCTAAAGGTACTGGTACAATGAAGCTTTGGATCACCTGTGAATTTTAAGAATCTCTTCCATTTCATCTCTTGCATTCCTGACCCCTCAATGGCATGGATAATTCAGTATCTGAAGAAAGGAACAGCCACAAGTGACTGATAAGAACACAGCTACTTTTCACAACATGGTTCAAGGAGCAGTTGGGCCCAGTTCCCATTTCTGCTGGAGTACTGTTCCTGGGTCCTGTAGGCTGGTGGCCTCCTGGCAGCTGCTGTCCCTTACAGTGGCGTAGGAGCATGAGGCAGTGATCACAGACACCTGGCTATGGCTTACAGCAGGATTACACAACTGCACATACACAACAGCAGTAAAAGAGCAAGAGCCAAAAAGGTTCTGGTTTGGGCCCAAATCACTAATCATTTCACTTTGTGAATAAAAAGCAAATGCTTTATAAGCTTACATTATTTACAGTGCTCAGATTTTTCAAACATCCACCCAAAGCTGAGGACCACCACGCCACAGGGAACAGTTCGATGAACTATGTACAGAATTTACAAGGAAAGTTTACATAATAGTCTACATTCCATTTCCATTAACACATTTTGCTTTTGGTTTTCTGCTTGCTTTCAGGAAACATACTTTTGTTTATTTTATTGTTTTCTTCATCCCAATAACCTGATGATTTGAACTAGTTTGAGTTAATGCTTGCATTTTCCTTTTGCCTCCCTTTCGGGATATACAATTATACTTTATTTAGGAAATGGTGGCACATCACCATTTAGTAAGATACTACTCAAAATTGTCCATAGAAATTTTGGCGATCACTTCCTTTCAGAAGCATTACACATCGTTTATTTGTTGTTTAACTTGGTGGATCATAATTGAACTTTTCTAAATGAATATTTATAAAATAGTCATGGATTTTTAGAAAGATGAAATTTAGTCTATACTTCTATGTATTGTGCATAATATTTTTAAAAAGGAAAGCCTATTCTTGGACTCTTAAACCACATTTAAGCTCTGCACCATATTTTTCTGTTTGCATTTTCAAGATCTTTCATTTGACTGTAATGCACAGTGAAAACAGCACATATGGAAACACAAGTCCTTCAGCAGGCAGAAGTACCAACCAGGCTGCTTTTTTTTTTTTTTTTTTTTTTTTTTGGCGGTGGAGAGGATGGAGGCAATAATTCTGGGTAATTCAGGCAAAAATAAGCCTTTACCTGGGTCTTTGATTCACAAAGTCGGTAAGCATGACATATATGTCATCTCTGTGAATTTTAAGCCGAGGGACACGGAAAGAAGGAATGCACGTGTAGTCATCGTTGTTAAGCGGAAGATGGGATTTCTGTTGCATTTGCACATATTACATCTACACAGTTGGTGTCACAGTTGTTGAACTGTGAGCATAGGGTTCCCTGGACTTGACTGTGGCATAAGAGAGTGAAGGTGTGCAATTTTCAACCTCTTCTGCCACTTAAGTAATACAGAGTATTATGGCTATTTTTATGGCAGAAAGAAAACAATCCAAGAGGAATTAAACAGTAACCTTTGTATAATGTAATAATGGGGATTTTTCAAGCATGGGGCCAATATGAGGGCATTTAAGAATGTTCCACAACTTTTATGTACATCATTTGGGGCAAAACAAGGGAGACAGCCAGAGAAGGCAGGATTTTTTTTCCCCATGTTTTGTTCAGTTTAGAAGAGGAGAATTTAGCCAAGAGGAAAGCCAAGGAGGGAAGGATTGGTCTGGAAAGAGTGCAAAGCAAGAGAGTGGGAACAGAGGTCATTAACTATAAACATGGCAATGTCTTGTTCATCTGGCTGCCATTGCCTCTAAAATCAGAGCTCTTTGATAAAATATACATAATAGTGGCTGTGATCTCTGAAGTGCCTGGATGAGGACACCACTTTGTGTCCAATGGATAGATTCAGTTGTAATGTTACTAAGTTTAAAATATAAGAGCTCAAAATATTCTCTCTTTTTCTATTTTCAGAAGATGTTTTACACATACAACTACAGGAAAAATTACTTCATATTTTAAAAGGTAAGATAGAGATAATAAAGAAAATACAAGTTACCTCAATCTTTTCCAAGAAGAATGATCTGAGCAGATAAATAAAGAGAGGTTGTTTTGTTAAGGGATATAGATTATGGGCACTTGCTTTCTGATTTAGCATTTCATCCTTAAAAGCTTTGACATCAGAATTATTCATTCCTATTAGGCACCAGCCAGAATTTTTTCTTCCTGTGTTTAAAATAAATGGCTACACAGTGGTTCCCGGGTGGTCATTAAGAGTATTAACCTTACAGTCACTGGCAAGGCCACATCTACCCGATTTGGGCATTTTACAATGGCAAATCATCTTACCCTGCCAAAGAACTGAAATGAATTTCAGGCTGGGGATTAGTTTGACCAGGGAAGTGTATTCACACAACTAAAAACTTTAATAAAAATTTGGTCCCCATAACACTACTAATTCCTCGTAAAACCATTGAGATCATTTTTTCTCATTAAGGTAGAGGTTTTATATTCTTACTAATGTATATTATCTTCAGCCATACCTCATTCATTTATTTGGAAGTTCCCCTTTCCTCTTGCTTTACAAAAGAAAATTCTATAACTCTCTTTCTCTGGGCTCATCAGTAGGAATTCTGCCTTATCTTTCCAAATATGACAATAATTTCTAGCATCTTATGCTATTCTACACATAAATCATCCCCATAGTTTTAGGGAGAAAGTCAGCTCATCAAATGAGATCATTTTCCCTATTATTACCTCAACCTTTTCTCACATCCATGGATCAGGTGCCAAATCACCTCTCTCACTGGTTGGTTAATGTAGGGTTTCACTCAACCTTGCAAATGAATATACAGAATTTTTAGGTACTTAAACTGAAAAAAAAAATGAAGTTTAAATGACATAAAAAATCTCAACTAAACATGGTTAGACATGTTTAGAAATGGCTGGTTAGACGTGTTTAGAAGACGTGTTTGAAGGTCATGAGGACCATGACCCAGAGTAATATATGACCAGAGATAAGGCAGAGCAAGAGAGACAGTGATTATGAGTATAGACAGGGTCTACACTTTTAGGGACGGTGCACATCTTTGAAAACCAAATGCTTTTGTCATTGCTGTTGTTTTTATCTGGTTTTACCACCTCAAAAGCTTTCTAGCTTTGGAGGAGAAAAATACCCATATGAGTGAATGTACATTACCCCAAGTATTCATTCCATAGCTGGGAATTCAGGGCTCAGACAGCAGAGCCGTAATGTGTCAGCTGAGGCCTTGTGTGATGAGCCTGTCATCATTAGATACTGCTCTCTGGAAGGCTAAGAAGTATATACTACTTCATTTAAGATTTGGCAGTTCAGGTATCTGCTCAGGCACCCTTTCACAGAACATACATCTTGCCTTCCTTTCAGAAAGGGCAATTTTTTTTCTTAGGCAAAAATTACTTTCTATCCCCTCCGTCAAAGCCCTCACCATCTTATCCCCCATATCCTTTATCTCTCTGGAGAAGGAACTGTGGAACTGTCATAGCATAACCTTAGAGGATTCTGGACTCATGAGGCAAATTCAGGGCTGCTCTTTGGAAATTTTCAGTAAGAAAGTGTTGCCACCCCTCCACCCCAACCCTTTATTCTCAAGAAGAGAAAAATGTTCTCAATGGCTACCAGTTTTACTAGGCTGGATTCTAATGTTCCTTGTACATCTGTGGGGACTTCTGAGAAAGAGGCATTTTTAAGGAAATCCAGCCTTCTGGTGAGGGGAAGATGGCAGGTTGAGGGTAAGCAGCTATGACCAACCCTTGCAAATCCTCCCTCCTCCTCCATGGAGCTCAGGAGCCTTTCTACAAGGGGCCCTGGGGAATTTAAGAAGGAAGGAAACTCTCCTTACTTTTGTAGGGAGCCCCCTTTGGTTTTCTCCTCTTCCTGGAAATCTGTAAATATCAATGGCTTTTGTTGTTTCTTCTGAGATCCTGGAAACTGTGACTGCGGTGGGGTTTTTTGTTTGTTTTGATTTTGTTGCTTTGGCAACATGAGATTGTTGCAGTTTACCAGGAAGAAGTACAGAGAAACAGCAAGGTCCTCCTTTTGTTTTCATTTAAAAAACAAATCAATAAAATCCAGGGCAAATAGGAAACACTGCTAAAGATTTACCTAAATTCTCTCTTTGTGTTTGTAAACATGGCAATTAAAAGAGCTCTTCCAAGAGCTGATAACCTGGACCACGGTAGACTGGAAAAAAAAGTTGTTGGTATTGTTTTGTTTTGTTTTTCTTGAAGTAAACATGGTGCAGTAATAAAGTCAGTACGCAAGACCTAAAATCAATTGGATGGCTGCATCTCTTACCTCAAAAGACACAGCAGTGTCGCTGTCGGGGACCTGCGGGGTTACAAACAAGAGAGGAAAGTCGTCTAACTCGAACCGTTAAGACAGACCTTAGTGTACGTAGTAAAGCCAATAAACGACGTTAAAAAGAGAAAAGGTGATAGGGAAGAACATTCGGGACCACTTGTCTATGGAATTCACGTCAGTCAAGTCGGGGATTTTGACTTTGAGCTGGGAGGCGCGCCGGCGGATGCGCCCCTTGCTGGGCACCCCGTGCCGGTCCAGGGCGCGCCCGTAGCCCTCGCGGCTGCTCATGGGCTTGCGGTACTGGATGCTGGCGCTGTCGTAGGAGTACATGGTGGTCTTGGGGTCGCTCACACCCGTGAGCACCTCGGAGCCGCTGGTCTCGTTCCTGATTTCCAGCGTGCTGAGGAGAATGTTGCCGTGGGCGTCAACCTGCAGGAGGCAGAAATGATGGTTCAGCCAGGACAGACTTTAATGAAATTGTTACAGATGATGACACAGCACGGGGCTCACATATGTCCTCGTGTTTGTGTATTTACTGAGGTACTGGGGGAGTCATATTCACAGCTTCATACTTGGCTGTATCTCCAGCCATATTAAAACTTTTTAAAAACTTGAGACAAGATCTTGAAATAGCCCAGTTTAAGCTCAAGCCTCAGCCTTCAGAAAAGGTGGGATTTCAAATCTGTCTACCCACTTGTCTCTGGCCTCCCCTTAATCTTTTTTGCTAGACATCAGGCTCTGTGTGGATCTTGGACATAAGGGCCTTTTTTTTTTCTTTTATTTTTTTCTCTTTCTTTTTTCCTTCCCTCTCTCCTTTCTTTCCCTTCTTTCTTTATCTTTTTGCTAATTATCTAGTCATTTTCTAACTATTATGTCTCCATTCTGAAAATATGTGTGTGTGTGTGTGTGTGCGTGTGTGTGTGTGTTCTTCTTTCTATAAAAATAATTTATGAAGGGCCTGGGATTTAGCTCAGTGGTTCTGGGGCCTGCCTCCCAAACTCAAGGACCTGAGTTTGATCTCCGGTATGACAATAACAAAAAAGACATTTATGGAAAAAAGCTGGAAAAAAAGTAAAACTACATAATGCACATTTACAGTCAATCAATATCTTGCTAGCCTTCCAGTCTTTTCTGTTAATATATACTCACAAAGTTTCATCCATATATTTATTTTACTTTGAAAGCCTGCCTTTGTCCGTTATTAATATAGCCTCTTCACCCTTCCATGTTAACAGACATCTTTCTGTGAGATTATTTAGCAATAGTTTACATGGATAAACCACATTTGAATTAATCTATTATCAAATGTTAAAATTTGTTTTACTTTTACAGTGTTAGAAACAAGACTGGAAGAAATATCTTTTAGTTAAATTTTTGGGTGTATCCATAATTATTTTCCCAGGCTAAATTGCTAGAAATGGGATTACTGGGTCCAAGGATACAGCTGGCTTTATGTTAGGATTTGTTCCTCTCCACTGTTCCCGGATACTTCCTGCCAGTCAGATGATACCTATCCTGGTCCTTGCCTATTCTGTGCTCATACATTTATTTTGGAACTATAGGCCATGCCGGTGCACCTTGGTCTACAATATGGCTTTGTTTCAAGTGGGTGTACTTTGCAAACTGATTTACCTGGAAGGTACATGGCTCAATCTTTTTTTATTATTTTTTTCTTTTTATTTTGTTTATTGGTACAATCTAGGTCTACAATACAGTTACATTCATTACTGAGATCCTGTACCTTTACATGACAGTTCTTTGTTCTCATTTTTCCCCTTGTCCCTGCCCTCCCTTCACCCCCCCTCCCCTTCCCATTAACAAACTCTTTATTTCCATTTTTTCATTTTCTCATATTTTTTTCTTTTCCCTTATTTCCTTTCCCTTGCCCTTCCCACTTTCCCTACACCTTTAGCCCTTTTCTTCCTATTTCACACTCTTAATTATCCTGTTAGGATCTTGTGTACTATTATACTTTTTCACACCAGAGAAACTATTTGGTATTTACACATGTGACTTATTTATTTCACTTAAGAGTATATCAATATGTGTCCATTTTCCTATGAATGACTTTAATTTTTCATTCTTTGTGGCTGAATAGTATTCCATTTTATAGAAAAACCACATCTTCTTTATCCAGTTTCCAACAGATGGGCAAATAGGCTGTTTCCAAGTTTTAGCTATTACAAACTGTGCCGCTATAAACATGGGTGTGCATATATCACTGTGGTATGATTCTTTTAAATCTGTTGGAAAGATACCCAGCAGAGTGATGTCTGGGTCAAATGGAACCTCTAGACTTAGCTCTTTGAGGTAGCTCCATATTGATTTCCATAGTGGTTGCACCAGTCTGCACTCCCACCAATGCTCAATCTTGTGCATGAATTTGAAGAACTTCCTAGGACTGTGTAGGCGGTTGTGTTTAAAGCTAGTGAGATTTGCTTAGCTCCTGACTTACAATAAACACCTTTGAATAAGATTTTCTCAGTAAACACTTGTTGGAAACACAAGAACAGATGGGGAGGAAAAAGAGCCTGATGAAGAAAATGACAGAGAAGAAAGCAGAGGAGGAGGCCAAGATGAGAGCAAAGAAAGGTGCAGAAATGATGGCATTGTCTGCAGTATAGACTAGAGAATGAATGTTCACCATGTGTCTAGCACTGTGGAAGGTGCTTTTCACATGTTACTTGCTTACACTTACAATCATCCTATTTTAAAAGGTAAGCCATTCTATCCCCATTTAATAAGTTAAGTAACTGATACTTAGAATAGTTGACAAACTGGCTCAATTTCACTTAGCTATTAAGTCCTGGACCTTGTCTATCCAACTCGAGTTCATGCTCTTTCCACTGAGCAGGAACTACCTCACAATCCTTGACTTTTGCCACATCCTGCAGTGCAATTTGTGAAGCGGTTCACAGCTTCAGGCCTTGAGTTGGATGGAGAGAGCAATGGTGACTGGATCTGGTCTGTCTTTCTCTCTCTATTCTTATCTATTATTATTTCCTGCTGTGAAGCATTTTCTCCAGTCTAACTGGGCAACCCACTCTGCCCTCTTTATATGCATCCATTGGTTTCTCTATTTAGGGAGATTTGTTGTTGTGAACCACTACTATTAGTAAGTCTTACTCTCTAATTTATTCAGTTATTTCTCCTAGCAGCACTATGACACACATAATATTATGCTAGCTCAACTCGTAAGGAAACTGAGGCCCAGAGAGGTTAAGTAAACTGCCTAAGATTAAGCAAATAACTACCTGGCTTGGGATTAAGACACAGGATGCTCTTTGTCTTGAATATTGCTTTCTCCCCTCTTTCCATGTTAATCAAATCAATTTGTTTTCTTCAAGGCTGAGTTTACATAGTCCTTTGTCTGTGTACCCTTGTACATTTGCTTATAATAAAGAGTAACCTCAGTAACTTTCTCCAAACTAATCAATGTGCCAGATGCAATGTTAGGAGTAAAGGACATGTGTTGAACAATTAGTATTATTACCACCAAAAACTTTAGCAATAACTTTTAGAAGAGAGTTTATAAACTCAGATACCTGTTGTTACTAAGAAGCATGGATAGTTTATATAAAGTATTAGTATAAATAATTCATTGAAGCTTGGCACAGTAAGGACTATGGTGGAATAAATGCCTAAGGCAGTCACTGCAACTCAGATCCAGTGGATAACTGTAGATTGCAATGTTTCCAGGGAACCTAAGCATCTAAATTTGCATTTGAATTCTCTATGTAAAGTTGATTCAATACTGTAAAATTGCTCTTTTCACCTAAAACACATTTTTGTCAGACTTGTCATTTAGACAACCAATGAGAGACCACTGTATTTTTGCTATTTCCCTATCCATTAGCATGTATTACTGTATATTAAAATTGATTTTTGGTTTATATCCAACTTTCTTGCTTGGAGGCAGAGAACTACTGGCGAATCCATAAGCAATAGAAGGATCTTGAAAAAGAATTAAAGCCAAAATATAATTAACCTGATTGGATTTACAAAGTATGGTAAAGAAAATCGGGACATTTTCAGTTTGCTGAGCTGAGAGGATTAGATTGTCATTAGTAAAAATGGAGAATTCAGTGCATGGTGTATCTTAGGGGTAAGAAAAAGTTTGCTACTTGGATCGAATTTGTAACATACATTAGACATCCTGGTGGTGGTGGCCAGTTAGTATTATTTAATTAGGCAGTGGTGACTGAAATAAATTAGAAACTGAGATGATTTAAGGAGTAGAATATATGAGTTAGTACAAAGATTAAAAAAAAACAAAAAAGGAAGTAAAAGATTAAGAGATTGCAATGACGGAGAACTCGTGGAGGAAGGAAGGTAGTCAAAGGGAAAAAGTAATCAATAGTGTTTCTCAGAGAGAATAGGAGAATGAAGTTGTAGAAAGTGCTCACTGATTTATCAATAGGTCACTCGTAGTCTCAGGAGAGAGCTGAAGCAGAATTTAGATTGCAAAGGATTCAGAACTGAGTTGAGGCAGGAGATGCAGACAGTTTGTATGGAGACTCCTCACAAGTTTGTAGTTTCAAGCAAGAAAAGAAATAAGAGCATTAGCTCATCAGGACAGGGTGCCAAGTGAAAATGAAAGACACTGAATTGATGGGAAAGAAGATTGATAAGGCAGATTTTGTGGTAGTGAATGATGAAGTCAAAGATATGGAAGTTCAGCAAAATGACTTCAGACCTGGAAATTTAACAGATGCTGGTCAGGAAAGTAGAACATTTCTGAGTGATGAGGCAATGTGATGTTTCTATGTGGATTGAAGTTGATAAATGGTGAAGGTTATCAGATATGGTGAACTAGGTGCTGTCTGTAGCCTGTAATGTGTGTGAGCATGTGTGTGTGTGTGTGTGTGTGTGTGTGTTGAGTGTGTGTGTGTTGTGTGTATATAAACTATCAATAGTGTAAATCTATTTTTGAAAAAGTCATTGACATGAAAATTGGTGCTAATAAAGATAGTAAGATTGAGATGACAAAGAGAAAAATGTTGACTTCACTGAAGGTGGGAGAACATTTTAGAAGATTAAAAATAGAACACATGATTTTTCTAGGTACTGTGGAATACTCAAGAAAAACATGAATCATGGATTTTTGTCCTTAAGAGGTAATTATCTCTTTAGAAGTACACGGTCAAGGCATGATTATTGGAGTGATAATAAAGAGCCTTTAACTAAATGGTAAATGCTACCCTGTGAGTACATGGTAAGAGATTCATAAAAATGAATTCATTGGAGGTCACAGAAGGTGTCACGAAACTATGGGCTAGTCCAGAATCCAGTGTCAGAACAAAGGGCTGGGAGCTGAAAGCTTTGTTTTCATCTTGGGTTTGTTAAGTTTGGATTTTAGTGTCCTCATATATCAATGGAAGGCTTTTCTTAGATAATCTCAAGAGCTGTTTCCAATCTTTTTCAGTCTT